AACCTACGATGAACCCTGCATAGCTCTCGTTCTCATCTAGAACGCTATGAAGCCAAAGAAACTCTTCATGCTCACGGACTACCGAGGTTTCTGGGCGCATACCCGGAAGGCGAGTCTTTGTGTGCACAGTGTATTTAACCTGCAAAAAAATTTTCTTAATCGAACGCTGACTGAAACACTCCGTTCAAACATTCCAGCTTTCCACCATATGTAGGCAGGCTGTTCTACGAAAATTTAACATCTGAGTACACTACAAACATAAGAATTCGAGGTTTTTTCCGACTAGTTAAATGAGAAAAATTTTAAAAAGTAAAAATATGACATTTGATGAACGCATAATACAAACCTTATCTCTCTCCGATAGCGCATCGGAGATATCAACAGATATCGCATTATCGGTGTCAAGATCCACGTTGATTTCTTCAGTACGATGCTGCAACATTAGAATATGGCAGTGTTAGGGTCGTGAATGAGTCAATGACCAATGCCGAAAAAGAGGATCGATAGCAAACTGATAACAATAAATATGCGCCTCTTTTACTTTGCATACAAAACATTTGAATGAATTTAATATCGACTATTGCCTAAATTGTATATTGTTCCTTCCATTTCCATTTCTATAGGGCGTGCACGATGGAGCGAGCAGAATGCTGCCTCATAAATAAGTTGTGACAAGGTTCCTCTGAATGAAAACCCACAATATATGCTTACGATAACAGATAAACCATAAGGGATCAACAACGACCGAAAGCAACTTAAATGCTTGTTTTGCATCCTTTGAAACAATGAGCTAGAGTACAACTTAACTTCAAACTTCAAAATTGACATGCAGTTTGTATCATTTAGAAACAAAGATCGTCAGTTCAGTTTTTTCTTTACTATCCCTCATGAGAGAGGGCTGCGATGGCTCAACACAATATTTTGAGAAATTTTAAACTGAATTAAAAATGGGATCTCGTATTTCCGGCTATGCATGCATTGTAATTTCAAACGACCCCCAATCAAGATATGAAGCTAGAATTGTACTTTCACATTCTTCATGTTCATCTTCCACAAGAGAAGCTGACAATAGTAAGATATTATATCCTGTTTGTACTCAAGAAAGAGCGAATCAAAAATCATAACGCAATGATGTTCAACCTGAGTTCTATGTGGCAAAGACGCCCTCTCTGTCACAATGCAAATACCTAAAAATTCTAATTACAAGCAGAGAAGACAGTTTCTCCTAAATCCATAAGTCAGATAAAGGAATATAAAGGAAAAAGGCAAATTAGTAAGCCTGCAATCTTTTGGATCTATTAAGTGCCTACAAACTTTCTGAAACGTGCTATCAATTCCCTTTAAAATCCAGCTGATAGCAATGCCTTTTTTTATGTTTTCAATTAATCGATAGGTAATTTCGTAGAAACGTTAGGAATGTACAGACCAGACATACATTTTTGAAGCTCACATTCAATTTGAAACTTGTTTCTTTTCAGGAATAGCAATTTTAAGGATCTACCGTTCTGATGATGACAGAGAGGACGCATTAGAATGCAATAAGAGATGCAAACATGATTTCAAAACTTAGAATCAAATCTAAACAAAACCTACGAAACGATTATCGTTGGCGATGTTTCCGGGGCTGCTTGGGGCATTTGTATCTACATCGACAAAACCATCAGTGGACACCTCGACCTGTGCCGGTTTCGACGAAGATGAAGAAGACGCAGGTGGTGGCGGTTCACCGCGGACTTGTTCGTTTCCGTTCAGAGGTTCATCTTCGAGTCCTTCGAGTGGGTTTTTGAACACCTCTTCTCCGGACAACATCCCACTAGAATTTTATTGTGAACCCTGCAAGGATATAGGGATACAAAACAGCTTGAAACGCCTTAGAGTACCACTGATGAAGCAAAGAGATCGCAGAAATTTCGAATTCTGTAACTTTACTGTTGCTTGCTAAAGTCGAGCGTAATAAATGTTTAGACAAGAGTCTACGAAACCCAGTTTCATTGTTCGATATTTCCTCTCATACCGTTGCATTAAGGAGTAGAAAAAGACAACATCTATCTTTGTCGTGCCGGCAATAGGAAAACAATAGAATTTGTCGAATATAAAATAACCGAAAATTTCTGCATACATCTTTTTAGTTTTGAGATGTACAGCATATGATATTTTAGAATGTTCGCGTGAACGTTTATATAACAGGAGTGATGTAGATTACATTTCCGTAAAGCCCATTTGTTTTACTCATCAATTTTCTTTCTCTCAGCATGTTGAAGGATATGAAGAGCGTGTAATATATTTTTAAGCTGATGAGATCAACCCCCCTCCCCATCTAGCCCCCTCATATAAAAAAGTTGGGCTAGGTTGTACTGCAAATTACAGCAACTCAACAATTTTCGACATCATTAAAATTCTAGGCAG